GCGCCCGTCGGGTGTCTGGGTGCTCTCGGGCAGTTCCTGGACGCCGACAACGTCCTGACCAACCCCGACACCCTGGGGCTGCTGATGGCGGAGAACAAGACGGTGGTGGCGCCCATGCTGGACTCGCGCGCCGCCTACTCCAACTTCTGGTGCGGGATGACGGCGCAGGTGAGAGCTGGGTCCCCTGGGTGCCGGGTCCTCCAGGTCCCCTGGGTGCCGGGTCCCGTGGGTGTCAGGCCCTCTGGGTGTCGTGTTTTCTGGGTGCCGGGTCCCCTGGGTGCCCGGTTCTCTGGGTGCCAGGTTCTCCAGGTCCCCTGGGTGCTGTGTCCTCTGGGTGCCAGGTTCTCCAGGTCTCCTGGGTGCTGGATTCCCTGGGTGCCATGTCCCTTGGGTGCTGCGTTCTCTGGGTGCCAGGTCATCCAGGTTCTCTGGGTACTGGGTTCTCCATGTTCCTTGGGTGCTGGGTCCTCTGGGTGTTGGGGTCCGCAAGGTTCCCTGGGTGTCAAGTTCTCTGGGTGCCAGGTCCGCTGGGTCCCCTGGGTGCCCGGCTCTCTGGGTGCCGGGTCCTCCAGGTCCCCTGGGTGCCGGGTCCCGTGGGTGTCATGTTCTCTGGGTGCTGGGTCATCCAGGTCCCCTGGGTGCTGGGTTCTCTGGGGGCCACGTCCTCCAGGTCCTCTGGGTGCTGGGTCCCCTGGGGGCCGGGTCCCCTGGGGGCCAGGTCCCCTGGGTGTCATGTTCTCTGGGTGCCAGGTCTGCCGGGTCCCCTGGGTGCTATGTTCTCTCAGTGCCAGGTCCTCCAGGTCCCCTGGGTGCTAGGTTCCCTGGGTGCCACATTTTCTGGTCCTCTGGGTGCCACATTCCCTGGGTGCCGTGTCCCTTGGGTGCTGCATTCTCTGGGTGCCGGGTTGTCCGGGTCCCCTGGGCACTGGGTTCTCCACGTTCCCTGGGTGCTGGGTTCTGTGGTCTCCTGGGTGCCGTGTCCCTTGGGTGCTGGGTCCTCTGGGTCCCCTGGGTGCTACATACCATGGATGCCACATTTTCTGGTGCCCTGGGTGCCGCATCCCCTGGGTGCCAGGTCCTCCGGGTGCCAGGTCCCCTGAGTGCTGTGTCCCTTGGGCCTTGGGTCCTCCAGGTCCTCTGGGTGCTGGGTACTCTGGGTCCCCTGGGTGCTGAGTTCTCTGGGTGCCGGGACCCCCGGGTGCTGCGTCCTCTAGTCCCTTGGGTGTCGTGTCCCTTGGGTGCTGGGTCCGCTGGGTGCTGGGTTCTCTGGGTCCTCTGGGTGCCGGGTCCTCTGGGTGCCAAGTCCCCTGGGTGCTGTGTGCTCTGGTCTCCTGGCTGCCATGTCCTCTGGGTGCTGGGTCCTTTGGGTCCCCTGGGTGCCAGGTCCCCCAGGCGCTGGGTCCTCTGGGTGCTGGGTCCTCCAGGCACTGAGTCCTCCGTGTCCCCTGGGTGCCACATGCTCCATGTCCTCTGGGTGCCATGTCCTTTGGGTGCTGGGTCCTCTGGGTCCTCCAGGCACCGGGTCCCCTGGGTGCTGTGTCCTCTGGGTGCCAGGTCCCCTGGGTGCCTCGTCCTCCGGCCGCCGCACCCCCCGTCCCGCCCCCCCGCCGGGGCCCGGCCGGGCCGCCCGCCCG